GATTGCTCTGGCCAGGCCGCCATATATTTAAAAAGCGTTACCGTAGCGTGAAATAGCGCTTCAGTAGCGCACCAGAACGATGACTGCCATGTCAGTTTGTAGGAAGAACCTCGACCAGGGCCACAGCACTGTCCCCAGCATCTCCCAGCCTACGCCACTGGCACCCCAGTGTCCGGTCAGGAAACCTCGGTTCAGAACGTGTGGAGTTGAGGTCGAGCTGAAAACCACCCAACTGGAGGGGGCGCATATTTTTGGTGTGACAATTCGACGGACGCGGCGGGTGAAACCCGAAACAGGTCAAAGACCCTGGAGTTCATCGATACAAAAACACTCTTCAATGATTCGACTGTAGCAAATAAGTGCAGTGCCAAATTCTGGACCTTTTTTTTAATGTTGGCAACTCTCACCCTCTACCTACCCGAGCAGCTCAGGGAGTCTAGGATTGGGGCTGATGGGCTGTGCAAGGGATAGTGTCAGCACTTCAGGGACAATTCAGCACTACAATGGAAGTGGCATTCCCAGTATTTCGGTGTGATTTTTTGGGACAGTCAGTGCCGTACTGACACAACTATCTGGATCCAGGTCCAAGGTCGGGCGGAGGCGACTCGTCTGGGTCGTTGCAACGATCTCCTGCAATAGCCCACCTGAAGCTGAAGCTATTATGCTTGTCCAAATACTGGCTTTACTCGTAATGACCAAACAAAATGGTCAAACCAAAAGAGTATGGCAGGCCTGCGGCCTACCCATAGCAAAACCGTATTGTTTCAACGCCCCGAATGATAATGAAAGCCGTAATGACCGAACAATAAGGCCGTTCTACCAACAAAATGTGGTATTATGGCTTTCCAGGTTCCTCTAGCGCCAATTTGGCCTCACGTTGATCGGAAAGACCATAGTCTTGAATGCTTGGTGCTAGAGGTCACTCGGGTTCCATGTTGGTACATCGAGGGATTGATGGTTTGCATCCCCTTGGTCCGGTTCCCTTCTTGAAGCCGATCCGATTGTCTGCTAGGAGGGTCTGGCGGGTCTCATTACCAGCAAAGGTGGGTCAGAACCCAATAGACTATCCTATAGGTAACCCAGGTGACGGGTCCTATTTACGGTCACTGGCTACCTCCGTTGGTCTACGAGACTGACCCAGTTCGGTCGAGCTGCGGCAGAAGAAGACCGAGAGCTGACCCGCCAAGGCGATGGCCAAGTTCTCGCGCCGCAGCTCCAAGGCGGGCACCGTCCTTGTTTTCCACCGTCGAAGGTGGTGAAAGAAAACAACGGCCACAGTGGATGTGCCTGTGATTTTGCATGGGGTGATGGGCTCGCATTTGAGAACATCGAAAGCTGCCAGAGGTCTTATACTCAGAATGTCCACTCACTTTACCCCAGAAGTCCAGAATGCACCACCACCAATAGTGGAGTAAAATATAGGAAAATGCATCAATGGAAATCTCGGGAGAGTTGGACTTCGTGCTGTGATCACTGTGACCCCTGAACTTCCGAAGGGCCCGCGTCTCGGACACGCCGAAAGCAAGCGCGGAGAAGGCAGGAAAGGACTGGAACCTGCCGTTGTCTAATGGGTCAGCCTAATGCATTGCAGGGGTCACTTCAAGCAAACAACCTCTGGACACAAGGAAACACGTGCACCCTGTAAGAACCGCGGGTCTGTGGGTATCTGTTCGTGTCCAGAAGGCACGCCGCGCATTTGCATGCATTTGCTATACGTTGGGTGGTGGACGAACACCGAATCCACCTTGCAGTGGTCCAAGGCCATAGGCCGGCATTGCAGGTGCCTGAAAATTCTTGGTGTTGCGACACCATCACCATGTTCAGTCCTTCTCAGTTGATCTCCATCTGGTGGGCGCCCTCCCCCACCCTCTGACCGATGTTTCTGGGGAACCCACCCAGATCACGTGCCCAAGGCACGAGGAACAGTAGCGAGGCACCAGCGTTTCCCAGAGAACGTGTTGGTCTTCGTCCTGCCGCGCACGTTCTTTCGTGGAGCCTTTTAGGGGAGAGAGATGTGATGTCGCCATCCACCCAGTGTTGTGGGAGATGGTCCATGATGGTCCTTCGGTTGGGAAGGGAAGGTGTTGTATGTATACCTGGAACCTGAATGACCTCTATGTTGGACCACCAACCACCCAAAATATGATATTTTCCTATCTACTGTAGATTAGAATCCGGGCCCTCAAATGGAAAGTGTTTTGCCTTGCTATGGAGGGTCCCAGGATTCTTAGGATAATGAGTATCAATTATCAATGCATATCATGCCCTATAGGGATCCAAATACCTCCTCAAAAGGTACTTGGACCCTCCTGGCACCCACTCCAGTCCCACCTTCTCAGAGGGTACTTGGATCCTTAGGGACGTACTATGCTGATCTCTTGGGCCATCCCTTGGAGCTACGACCATGACCTCGGGCGTCTGGACAACCCCAATGCACCCAGTCCGGCGTGTGAGGAGACATCCCCAGATGGTCCAAACGAAAACGCTGGGATGCAGCATTCTGAAGTTGATTGTTTGGGGGGGAGCATGCATCCAATTTGGGACAAGATGAATGGAACAAGATTGCCTAAACACGAATTGCACACCTGTCGCAATAAACCCGAGACCTCTACCAAAAAACAGCGGTGCGCTTCAGTGTCCTGGCTGGAAAAGCAGCGGGCGCCGGCCTTAACCACATGCCTGGGGGTGCAGAAAATCAACCGTTTTATCAATCCTTTATCATCCATCTGAAATCAACTCACCCGTATTCATCACTCCCCTGACTGAAAGCTGATTGTCCTGCCGTGTCTTGCTAGACATCCAATTGATTAGGGCTTTGATGTTCACTATTAGGTATACAATATCATAATATCACTCCTAATATCCATACAATATCACTCGAGCTGCCGACCCAAAGATGCTACACCGCCCATTCACCTCTGCACGCCTACGATCTTCCACGACACCCGCCGGACTCGGAGGAAGGGACACACCCACGGACATGAAGCAACAAATATTTAAATTCGCTTTGCGTGTCTCTTTTAAAACACATGTATGCGGCATATGACCGCTGTTTTGGTCTGCCCCGGGACCCAAAAAATCGTCGTGTTGTGTCTCGCCAGGTCACTGCACCCACTCGAAGACGCTTTGCAAAGCCATCACTGGCTGCGCGCATTGTCGCGCCATGTGATCCACGGTCCAACTCCCCGCGGGGAGTTGTCCAACTCAGACTCCCCGCGGGTCCCTACAGAGGCGCCGGATCTACCCCAGCGGGTGGGGTAGTTTCAGCTACCCCCTTTTGAGCCTTGGCACCGAGTCGTGAGCCAGTCATATAGGGTCCAAGCGATCGCATAAAAGCATCACACGGATCCAGCGCCTCATGAGCCAACCATCCGCGGATCTGCACAACTCTCACTCTCACACCTCAGGTGTCTCTTCTCTAACCAAGCGAAAACAGGTTTGGAAGCAGTGCTTGTTTGAGGAAAATCACCCTTTTCAACCAGTGTTCCTATGTGTTCCTACATATGATGTTCACAATCATATCATATTAATTGCTCATTCTCCAACATGGATGGCGCCGGGATTTCTCACCCTCCGCAACCATGGAGTGTTAGGTACCCTCTACTGAAACTGAATGCTTGTGCCGCACGTCCAGGAATGACAGAAAAACGCTTCAAAACCACCAAATGAGTCTTGTCACTACAGAACCCACCTCCCCCCAAGGCCAATGTCAACTGAACGCTTCCACACGTGCGATTTGCCCAGTTCCCTTCCGAGACCTGAAAGCTGGGATCCGAACTCGTGCTTCGGGAATCCGTTGAAAAAACTGGAAACTATTTTAGTAAAGTAGTTTGTTACTACTAGTAATGGCCTCCAACCTAATAGCGATGGCCTCCAACCTACTAGCTTCTTGTTACTGAAAAATACTGAAACAACATTTATAACAAATACTCTCTGTTCATGGGCAGTCTTTGCTCAGCTCGCACTCCCTCCTCGATCTCGCGATCGATCTGCTGCCAATTCCTCTTGGACTTGTTGGAGGTGGGATACGCGGGCCTCGTGTCAGTTGATGCTCGTGGACTCGGAACTGGTGACGGAGCGGTGGAAGAGATCACAGTATATAGGAGCCACGACAGTATAGACGTCAACCTATAGAGAGAGGTCCAAAGAAAACATGAAATACACGGTAGGAATCAGGAATGTTCAGGATCCAACTCAAATGAACGCCAAACAGTGGAAAACGTCGGACTGTCGGACTTTTTCCACAGTCCTACGCAGTGGTCTGATGGCAGAGACATGGGGGTTGCTGAACCCAAAGTTGTTGGACAAAATGCTAAGGTTGAAGTTTCTTGATTTATATTGAACATAGTCATAGTCATCTTTCCCTGAATTGAACATTACATTATCTTCTGGAGTGGCAAACCAAGTATTTGGTTGCTTCAAAGATTCAAGAATGTGACGGAGAATTGAACCGCAGTTCCGATGGGATTTGTTTTGGGAGGGGGGTGCATTTGGTTGTTTCTCCGGCGCCAGTCGTCTGATCGATGTTGCGTGATTTTGAAAAACACCCATTGATTGATACCAACCTCCCGGTGAGCTCTCTTGTAAGGTGCTTGTTTGGTGTACTGGTGCTTCTGTTTGGTTGCCTGGGCTGCTGGACCACTGCTCGCCCAAACATCCTCTCCAAACCCCTTCAAATACTGTTTGCATGGACTCCGCCCCCTCCTGAACAAAAGTGGCCCTGTGAGGAACAGCAAGGCGACAAAGTCCAAGAACAGTATGGTTCAAGCCATCAAAAAACAGGTACACAGATTGGCGTCCCAAGCTGCTTCACGGAGTATCCACAACCCTCCGCTGAATTAGGTGCACAGCATTAGTGGTAGTGAAATATGGGCGCTGCAAGAAGCGTGAAAAAACCTGAAAGGCACCCAACAAGCCTGAGAAAGAAAGAGCAAAGGAGAAAACACAAAAGGAAGAGGGCAAGAGTGAAAGTAGGTGTAAGTAGGTGCACGCAGTCGGCTAGCCAGTTCGGCAAAAGCACCTGTGCTTTACAAGCTAAAAAGCCTTTAGAAGAAACAAAAGCAGAGAAGAGAAACGCATCTGGAAGGAGAGGAAACACTGCAAAAACTGGTGTCTTGCAAGCAAGGGTGCCGAGTGAACGGCAAATTAGGATCCAGCAGCAACTGGCAAACTGAAGCCGAATCCGGCGTTGATGAGTTAGCAACAAGCTTCTACAGTAGGAAGAGAGGGAAAGCAGAAGCGAGAAACGAAGCAGGAAGAAACACTTGCAAAAACCTTCCGTTCAAGTGCGCCGAACGCATCGGCAAGTTATGTCAAAAATAGGGGTTGAGAGTTTCACGTGTGACACAGAGTTTACAGTGAGCTCTGCAGCGTAGTTTCAAGATTCCAGTGTGAGATAAGTCCTTAAATTCATCTTCGAGGGTGAAAAGTTTGCGTCAAGAGGTGGTCCTGAAAAGGACTTTGCAGATAATTCTCTCCTGGAAAGGAGCGGAGACTCAGTAACGGCGCCCCTGTGAGGATCACACAGCCTACCACAGTGGGAAGAAGCTGCGATACACACTTGAGATAAGTGCTCCGTAGGGCTAAGCTTGAGTGCTTCGCGGTGAGCATTAGCACTTTACGATTAGTTACTGCAATACCAGACTAGAGCGCTCTGACCTCAACCTGTGAGATGGCCCTGTGATGAACAGCAAGGCGACAAAGTCCAAGAACAGTATGGTTTAAAGTTTAAATCATCGAAAAACATGTACACAGATTGGCGTCCCAATCTGCTTCACGGAGTATCCACAGCTGTCTTCGTTGGCAGCAGAACTGTGGACTCCCTGCTGCCCCCTGCTGAATTAGGTGCACAGCATTTGTGGTAGTCAAGTAAAGACCCTGGAGACAGGAGGTGGCCCACACACACACACACACACACACTGACCGTGGAGTTCCAGATCCTCCTCCCAGTCCAGCGGCTGATCCGGTGGAATCTCTGGGAGTTCTTCTTTCCTGTGACGTGACCGCGACCGATCGATGTGTTTGTTGGACCCATTTGCCGGACCTAAAGTGGTCGAAGAGAATACTTAGAATATCTCAGAATCAATAACACAAGGTTGTTGTATGTTTTTGTCGTGGTATGTCATATGCTATCAATGACTATGACTCATGTATATGTAGTCTTCCCACGACTAAACTCAATAATAGCCTTCCCCGAGCGCAAGTGGAACCTACGGCTCATATGGTTGCTAGCTTAGGACTTGTTGCTTCAACGTCCACCATGCACGGAACATACAACACCCTACAGTTTCAGGGTCCATTTTGAGATTCAGTATGCCCCGCCTTTCCAGATCTTTCCACTTCACACCTGCAGTCTTCTTTTGAAGAATGACCTAAGCCAAGGAAGTCGGTTGAAATGTGGCGTGACAGACAAGACCTAAACCCTCATCGAATGTTCTTGCATTTGCATGTTCCTCATGTGCTTCGTTTGGTGGCTTCTTGCAGGACCAAGATCTGCGTCCACAAGTCCACAAGTGGAATGCTGCGGAACTTATGGTTAGTAGCTCAGCAAACTACCGAATAGAAACAACAACCGTCTTAGCCCCTGTTCTTCTTCGACAACTCCAACTTACGGTGGCTCTCTGGATGCCCGCCAACATCAGGACACCATGAAGTACCTACAATCATCAATCCGGGCAACCGACGATTGTTGCGGGCACGGTGATCGCGGAATTTCTACACTGATTCCTACGTTCTCATATTGCTCCGCTTCCTGCGTTGGACGTCTGAAACGCATACATGCATATTGAGGCAATGTTGCATATATACGTTAGGTTGGAGGCTATCGCTAGCAGGTTGGAGGCCAGCACTAGTCGGTTGGAGGCCATTGCTTCTAGTTTGGAGGCCTCGCTAGTGGGTCGGAGGCCATGACTAGTAGGTTGGAGGCATCGCTAGTAGGTTGGAGGCCATCGCTAGTAGGTTGGAGGCCATTGCTTCTAGTTTGGAGGCCTCCCTCTTAGGTTGGAGGCCATCGCTAGTGGGTTGGAGGCCACCGTTAATAGGTATAGAAGACTGCATAGAAGCTATCGTTGCATATGCGTACCTCCCTTTGAGTCTCCAAAGACCTGCGGCACTCTCTGCTCCAAAGGCTCCCAGCTTCCACCTTCACTTTCGAGACCTGGTCGTATGCAAACAGCAGCATGCAGTGGTGCGCATGCGAGCTGTCTGGGGTTTCAACCTGCAGGATGTGTGTCATGTTTTTTTTGCTTTAAACTTAAAAGGGAAATGGTGGGGGTTGCCAGGACTCTATGCACCAGACTTGCTGTTAGTAGCCCAAGCCCTTGTAGAATCCACGAAATCATGTCAAATGGTGGCATGCTGCAGATGTCTGGCAACTTTGGATTGGTCATATACATCTGTAAAAGAAGGAGTGGGCTCCCACCGTTCCCACAAGTCGTCGCCGTGAGATCTGCCTCAATCTTGGAGGCGCCGGGGACGATGTCGTCGCAAAGGTCCTGGAAGGGCAAAAACCAGGGGAAAAAAAGGAATCACATGTTTTTACATGTGTATCATGAAATTGTTTAGTATATGTAATTCGATTGTTGCAGCTTCTTGGTCAAGATCGAATCATGAAGGGGAGACAATGAAAAGAACCTTCCGGTCCCAAGCAAATCCATGTCAACTGCAATCATCTCGACATTCTTTCCGAAAGTACACATTATATATCCCAGACACTCCATGTATGCCATATATGCCTACATTGACCCCTCAAACCACCCCAACTGATCGGCATATATGGCAGTCCCATGGAGCGTCTGGGTATGTCACCGAACCCTTAACGCCACCAGCACCAATTGCTCATGGCACTCTGACGCACAACGCATGGATGCCGTGACAGGAGCGCCCCTGAACACCGGGGGAGGGGGGGCATCCCAGCTGCCCAAGCACCAGGGGCCCCTTGACAAACGCCAATGAAGTAGGCAGGGTATTGATTCGCCTGATTCGCCAACCTAACCGGGAGGTTGGAGTTCAGTAGAGCATCAGAATCACCCCCTTGATGTTTCTTACATTCTGCGAGTTCTTGGGGTTCTCTTGATTTGGTCTTGGCCCCTTGGCGCCAAGCGGCCAAGTTCAGCTGGTATTCCTCCTCTGACGACCTGAGTGGTTGCGCGCGACCATCTTCGGTGGATGGAGTGAGTTTACAGCGTGGAACTTCGACGGAATGCCAGGCCTGAAAGGTCATAGTGTACAGTCCTGGAAATTTCAATGAAAGAAATCAAAAGAGGCCAATCCCAGTCACGGGGGTGTGGTATTCTTACCGTCGAGTATGGCAAGTGTCATCCCATGGCATCCCAACTTTTGTCCCTCACGGTGACCTGTTGCGCTCAACAGTGCTCAAGGCGGTCAACGGTGCTCAGCTTGGCGATGGGACCGAAGGAATCCCAGGATGTCACGGTGATCTGTGAGTAACTGTTACCTGCGGGTCAGTGGTGAGTGCTGAGGACAAACAAGTCTTGAACACCTGCGCACAGAACGCATGTTTTTCCTTTTTCCCCAATCATGTGCTCATCAGCAGCTGAAGAGCTACAACTCCCGCGTCAGACCAGCCACAGTCTGACCCCCGAAATCCCACTGCCAAGTCGTCACTAGGCGCCAGCGGCCCGAGCAGAATCCATGACCCCACCCCCCTTATATACACAAAGGCAAAACACAAAGCAGCTGATTCGGAACGTTTTCCATTTTTCCCAATGTGGTGATGAAATTGAAATACATTAATACATATTAATACACCAGAACTGCTTTGCAACTGTAGAAGCTAACTGTTGAAAGAAATGCCGAGAAACTGCCCTGCATCTGACATCTCCTGGCCACGAATCATCATTCCCCATAGTATCCCGTAGCTGGATGTGGGTGGATCCGCCTATGGTGTGATTTTTGGGGTGGGTTATCTCAACATGTGTGCAGTTGTGTACAAGTGTATATGTGTAATTAATGCCAATGTCCATAACAGTGATACATTCATATCAAGGAAGTGAACAGCACTTCCACATTCTCAACCTGACTGCATGAAGCACAAGGCCTCACCAGAAACACACCTCTCCTCCGGCTCTGTTCTGCTGGGCCGGACCGCGTCACGGAGCATCTCTTGGCATTCTTCCTCACCAGTGCCAAAGGCAAATGGTAAGAATTGAGTAACGTGCATATCTTGGCATGTCTTTTCAGCTTGTTGTAGCTTCTATCTATACCCCACACAACCCAATGCGTAAACTTGAAGAAACACACAAGACTTCATGGTTCTGAGTGCATCATGATTTTGAGCCAAGCTGCCTGGATCTTTTGTTTGTTTGATGGATCTGCCAGCCAAAGACTTGCCTGTTTGGACTTGGACTTCCTGAACTTGAGCGCTTGGCGCATGGCATCGCCACCAGCATAGTGTAGCAACTCTGCCATGTTGAGAGCCCTCTCCACTGAACATGTTGAGCTGCACAGTCCCTCAAAATCATTCCAAAGGCCCCAGCGATACTTAGCTCCCAAGGCCCTCAAGCAGCTCTGCCAGGCCTCCGACTGCTGGAAATCAGCAATCACGATCCTGTAAAGGGAGGTGTGTAAGACTTCACCCAGATACTATAGGATATGGTATGGTACCGGTTTGTGGATAAACATCTACAATACATAGCTATAAACATGCAAACATGATATGAAACACCAGCCCCAGATGGCCACTTTGCCGCCAAGCCAATGCTATATTGCATCACTGTTTATGTTTGTCAATAACATGCACCCAAAAAACCTCCTGCAAGCCATAACATGCACCCTGCACTCTACCGACGGCGTCCTGTTCCAAGACATTGGGTCTACCAATGCCGGACACGACCTTAAAGTAGCCGAAAGAAAGGCAGCCTTCTCATGCCACAGTTCGACACACTCACGCAGTTTCTCCTGTCGAACGCACATCCTGTCATGGTACAGGAATGTTCCCTGAGCACGATGACTTTCTTTGGTACACAGCCAATTCCGAAGTGTGCTGTTGAGGGCCTCCCTATGCACTGCAGAGCCGAAGACTACGGCAAAGTCTTGCAGGAGGTCCCCCAAGCTTCAACCGAGTGATGTCCTTGCTGTTCGCCAGGGTCAAAACACGAAAAGGACCATCACCTTGGGAAACTTCCATGCGGACTGAGCTGTCACGCACAACTGTGATCCACAGCTGTCTTCCTTCTTGATGGCACTTCGAATCCAAAAAGGACTGGAAGGAATCCCAACACAAAGACCATTCGGACATGGTCTTCTCCCTTGGGTTGTACTCGTTCTCCAAGAGTTGGCCGGGCTTGGCCCGAAGCTTCAAGCATAGAATCTCATCGCCGACTTCCAAGCCTGGGTTGCATCGCTCCATCTCAGGGCTGAGTTCGGAAACAGTCCGTCCGGCCACGGTGAAAAGCCAGGAGTCAGTCAATTGGATCGGTCCGAGCTCCTTGGTTTTGGCCGATGCAGGTGCTGCTAAACCCCCAAAACACTTGCTCCAATTGCGTCATTCCAAGGTTAGTATACCATACCATTGGGGACCAGGATTTTAATTGACCCCTTCTCCACACAATAACAGTAAAACTAACTAATATATCATATAATCTAGGTTTCTTTCGACTGGGCCTGCTGTTGGACGGTTTACAATCCCCATTCCAGCTGCAAGCCGAGGTTTCTATGGTTCCCAAGGGCATTGAGAAGTGGCAAAGCTTGCCATCAAGGAATCAAGGCACCACCTCCCGCCTCTCCTTTGCTTTCGCTGCAGGCGCGGGTTTGCAAAGCTGGACCCTGTTGCCCAAAAACTTGACGAATTCATCCTGCCATTGCTCTACCGAAGAAGGTGGGCACAAAACCAAAGTTGCTGGATTGCTGATGTAGCCACGAGGCCTCTCACCCAGCCCTTGGCATAGTTTCTCGGACAGCAAGGCAATGGTGGTGGCTGTTTTGCCAGAACCTGTCTTGCCTGCTAGAATGCCACCTCCTGAGCTCTCCTCCTTTGCCTCTTGCGAATACATCCACGCTAAAGAACTTCGTTGTTGCTTTCTCAGTGGGTGCTGTTGGAATGTCTTTGGATTCTCTACCATAGGCTCATGATTGGCCTCGCGGCACTCGCATTCCTCACAGGATTCCTCAAGCCATGGACGCTTGGCCACTGGTAGGGCTGGCCCATCCGCCTGGACATTAATCATTAATTAGCAATCAGAAGCTGCAACCAAAAGCAGCAAATCAGTACCCAAACATATCTCAAACATATACCAAACTCCTCGCAAAATAACTCTTATCATGGGATATTTTCCCCAACACGTTAGGACACAAAGCATCTACCTATGGTCTCTACATAGACTATCGCAAAATGACCCACACACTTTGGACAAGAAAAATAGATCCCACCTCGATAGCTGCATCCGCTGGACCATCTGCTTGCCCACCCGTCTCACACGCCACTTCCTCCCCACACCCCGCGAGCTGTTCAAGCTTCGACAGTCGCTGCAGGAACGGCCCGGGGGCCTCGGATCCCAAGAAGGATCGCTCGATGCAAACGTCTGCGATCCAGCAAGGTCTGCGATCCGGATGCCGTCGAGCCCAACACCTGCTCCAGTTGCACCACTCGGTCCAACCAGGTGGCCATTGAGCGAAAGAAGTGTCGGAAAGTGTCGAGTGAACAAAGCGTATAATATATGACATGAGAGTCATAGCCCGTGCCGCAGCCGACACATGGGTTGCATGATAGCGTCAAGGATCAACATCTATCATGATGTATCATGATTCATGATGGATCAATATACTAGATATAACTATAGATAGGTAAAAGCATGCGCTAGTCACTGGTCCACCTACTTAGTCACTTGCATGCGGAGGGCTTGAACCATTTTGAGCCCAGTACCTGCAGATGTCCAACCTTGCGGCAAAATCGGCTGTAAAGATTACATTAAGCAGTAAGCGGTCCTTTCACAAACTACCCCTCCCCCATTTAACAGCCCAACACTGTTCATGGACCATCCTCCAGGCAAATTCTGCTCTGGAGCTGTCGTGCTCGACCGAAGAAAGCCAGGCGTCCCACCCCGGCAAGGGGAAGGAGACGGAGATCTCCTGGCGGAGATCGACGCCGAAGCTCCGTCCACGCCACACCAGGCACCAAAATAACGAGTTTTGAGCGCTGACGGTCGACAGCGTGTGAAGTGGACTCAGCACAAGGGCCCCATGGGACTTTCTTGATGTAGCTTCTGCGAGTAGCGTCCTTGCTCCTAGTAGCGATGCCCTTTGTTACTATAGTAGCTTCTTGTTCCTAGTAGTAAGGCCTTCTTGCTCCTATAGGAAGAGCCGACTTTGAAGGATCAAAAATGTAAAGTCACTATCAACGTTTTTTCTGCCACAAGCCAGCTATCATCGGTCATATTCCTGTTGTGTTTTTATTTCCTCTGACACCTCCTATAGCTGAATAGTATTCTGAATGTGTATCAGGGCCATGTTTTCATGGCTTGCATGCGTTGTGAAGATCAAGAATCAAGCAAGGTTTCCCTTTTGGGGATCACGTAGGGAAGAAACACCAAATGGATTTCGAGACGTGTGGCATCTCTACACGCCACACCACCGCCACACAGATCCACCCGCCTCATAACTGAAACAAAACGCTTAAGTTCTGATCAGTTCTGCATCCGTCCTGAAGGCTGAAAACGACTTCTGCGAATGGCCAGTGCAGAAAGTCTACAAGTAGGTATAGGCGTCAGCCCAACCACTAAGAGACACATGTTGCAACACGTTTTGCCCATGCGCGACGACGAAGATCGAAGACCCATCCGGGGGAGGGGCCAAAGACCTGGCCCCCGCTGGTTGCTTCGAAAGACCCGAAGTCTCGAGCCCCATGAGGTCGGACCCCGAGGATGAAACGCCGGTGTTGCTTTCTGCCAGGGGATGCCGCGCTGCACCGAACACCTTCGGATCCGCTCTTCCAGCCTTCGGGATCTCAGGGCGACCTCTCAAAACCGGAAGCGGAAGCGGTGGACTGCGCGGAACTGCGCGGAACGTTCGCGCCTTCTCTTGGAAGTCGACTTTGCAGGACTCCTGGCGATCCGCAGAACCGGCGGAGGCCGGTGGATCTGATGGATCTGACCCTAAGTGGGTGGGTGCCATTGTCGGGTCCAGTCGTACCGAACTTGAGGAGGTACGACAGGATCCCTACATTAACTCAATCATTTCCCGTGATCAAGGATCATCTGATCATCTGATCACCTGATACACCCCAGGCCCACCAAAACTACAGGCCTGAAATGAGCTGTTGAGAGGTGGTGATCTACCTAGCACACCGAGGAATGCTCTCGGCTTGTTGCTGATGTGGCGGAACATGATGGGCCCAATTGGGATAGGGTCGAACTGGGGAAATGCTGCCACACACTCGAACTTCAAAGTATATAAAAAGGGACAGTCAACAGAACCAGGACCAGGACCTCTCACTGTGGTTTCACTTGACCTAGGTCGGTTCAGCCTTTAAAGTAGTGCATAATCTTCAACATTCTTGGTTGACAGTCTCATAAATTGTAATCCAATATGACATACCAGTTGAGTGGAGCACAAGGACGATTGATCTTTCACCAGCCTGTAACTGCCCATTTAGTGCAGCAGTGGCGAATTTCACTTATAATTGAAAAGACTCCTTTACCTAGGTCAGCCTGAGTGCTCCACCGACGATCGAGGTCTATATATATTTCCTTCCGGACGTCATGATTTGGAGATCTCATGAGATCTCTGTGCATCGCCACCCCCAATCACAGCTCCGTCGCCAGCCGTCCTCCTCAACTCCTTTGGCGAAAAGGGTGATAAAGACCTGGTTGGCATTCTGGTACCTGCCGAACGTGTGAGGAGCCGCTCCTAGTTCGCACGCGGGCGCGCGGCCGAAAGGAGCACGTAACTATCCTAGATCTTCGAACGATGCATTTTTTCCAGTAGTTCTCGAGTTTGTCTAACTTCACTGCTTTTGGTTGGAAACAACTAACTCTCCTGAAAGTGTTGTTTTTGAGGGTTTGAGGTGATCAGACTGCCAAAAGCCATTCTTTTGGCTCATCCATGCCCTATGGCCGTGGTGAAGATCACAGGCGGGCTGGGATCATCTTTCATCGCATTGACATCTGCATGCGCTGGTCGGTGTGCTGCCCATATCCTCGGATGCTCAGCGCCCACAGGTTCTCACATGGCTGAGGGGGCTGGGCTCTGGTGACGTGGAGGCCGGGTCAAAAGAGTCTGATTGGATTGAAACCTTCACCAGCCATGTATTTTTGTTTTACATCTAGTCTGGTGGTGGATCTGCTTACATCTCCTAGGTCTGTGCTAGGGGGTTCCGGCCAAGTTGCCCAGCATCTTTCCGGATCTGATCCGTGCGGCAGGTCGGTGGCGTCCACCTTCCAATGAGACGAGGCGAACCCGAGACTTTCAATGTCGATGCCTGTCCCGCATGCATGAATGCAGTGTTGGGAGGTGTTGCACGAGCACACCCATGGTCATCCGTCCAAACCAGAAGTTTTGGCTCACTTTGCAAAGGCCACTGGTAGTAGCATGGCTGGAAACGCTTCGTTTCTTGATCTCGATGCGGACCCAAATGAACTCCAAGCAACACCACTTGCAAAAGCTTGGGAGAATTGTGTTCAACTTCGGCGTGCTGCCAAAACGTTCCAATTAGTGTGGTGCTCAGGCCTTTTGGTGGCTTCAGGGGAAAACGTCACTGCACTAATTAAGTGTGAGAAATATCCCGATATCGCTTTGGCCCTTTGGCATGGGCTTGCCCTTGCACTCAGGTGAAGACTACTGGATCTATCGTTTGCCGGGACACAGTTCGGCAAAATGTCAAGTTCTTGAAGATCACAATCACACACTTGGGTTATCGAGTGGCTGTTCCCACTCTTGAGCTTCATATCGATAGCTTCTTTCGGTATTGCAAGATACCCTGCAGTAGTATCTTGCCTAAAGCTAGTATATATAATATATATATATAGTTGGATTTTATTTCCGTGCGTGTTCACTGCTCGCTTCTCCAAGTTTTTCCATTGAGCCTTGAGCGCGCTCGTGAGGCAACACCATCACCAAGCTGGCCTGGACCGCGCGGCGATGCGTTACGCTCTTCAACGATATCATCAGAAGACCTCACACTCCCCGGGAGCCAGAGATTAGGTGGTTGATTGGGGCTCTCAACATCAAACTGCCACATAAAGAGGTTCCTGCGGAGGAATCCGGTTCAGACCAAGAGGAAGAGGGATCTGAAAGCGAAGCTGGAACAGAAGATGAGGTACTAGAAGACCTACACACAGGTTACTTGACAGGAGGCTTTGAAACTTTCATGTTGAAGCCCGTGCTTCCCGGAACCTTTAGGTTTGACGGATGACTTTGGCAACCTTCACCTGGCGGCTCCAACCAACAAACCCGAGGAGGCCAGTGCACTATGTTTGGTAAGGGGCGCACGCCATGATGCAAGAAATGCAGGCCCCAAATCCGTGTTCATTTGGCACCCGCAGTTCTTGCATCATGGCACATGCTTTGACCAAGCAAAGGGGGGAAGTGCCAACACAAGCTAGGATCCTATTGGATTTTTTGTTTTGTGTCCTATCAAGTTCTCTTGGCAAGTACGCAGCGCCATCAATTGAGTCAATTGGTTGGTAGTTCCTGGTAGGTTGAAGAGCGCGGCCCTGAACATCCTGGTCATTCTCTGGAGAAGGACAGTGATTTTGTTTCCTTCACTCTTCACTGTTCCCGGATTTCTCTGTAGATCTGCTTGCCTGGCTGATCAGGGTGAAGCATCTCGGATCCACACGCCATCTCCTGTCGCCAAGGCCGCGTGCAGATTTGCTAGAATGGTTTGAGAGCCACCCTTGAGCGCCTTTGTAAAAAACAAAAGTGAATTCTGCATATGTGTGTGTCTCGTGTGACATATGTATAAATGTCACAGTTGTCTATGGCAGGCTGTGGAAGAAAAGCTCATCAGTCCGCTGCTCAAAAATGCTTGCGCTTGACTCTTACGGAGAGACTTGTATTGCATTTACCTGTGGTGAAAGGTCCGTGTCTGCAAACCCCGCCAAAGGTTTCTCAGACTGAAGTGCGCTAGCTGTATCGGCCGTTGTTCCTCTAGTTTTCACGGTTTTGCTCTTGTGAGATGTGTGTACTTTGTCAACTGCTTGCCCTTTGCACATCATATATCAAAATGCGTGGTCAGGAATTGCAAAATGCCCAAGGCTAAGGCCAAAGCTTCCGGGAAGACTCGCAAGCGCTCCAAGGATGAGCACGCCCCTGACGCGGAAGCGGATGAGTGTGAGGGTGAGGGTGAAGGTGGTGCCAAACCATCCAAAAAGAGAAAAGCAAAGAAACAGAAAGAAGAGCAGCAAGATGCACCGAAGACGAAGAGAAAGAAGAAGTAAGAGACCTGTCGTCCTGTCAGCCCAAGTTTTGTTTTTTGATGTGGTAGAGATGCACCTTGCCGACTATTGGTGCTTTTGAAGCTACACCTCCGGTGGCCCTAGAGAAAAAAGGGGCTGCGTGCAGTTGTGAGTGCCCCTGCAGTCCGCCCAACACTTTGACGTGGTAGTGGTGTGATTGCTTGCCAGGTTCCCTCGAGCCCCAGGGTGAAAGCTTTGTTTTTCCCTCAGCGAGCCCTTTGGCTGTATGCAAATTGGAACACTCCGGTATATATCATGATTTGGTTGCAT